TGTTCAGTTGTTTTGCATGAGATATAGTGATCTTTAATTTTCACAATATAACTTGCAAATAATCTCTTCTTTAAAATATGCTTTTTAAGTATCCTTAAGCAGATCCTATTAAGATTGCTCTTTTAGTAAAATAGATGTTTTAGCAATTTAGTCTGTTTTTCATCTTCTTGATGCAGTAATAATGATGCAGAAGGCACATATGAAGATTGATGTCTTAGCCCCACAGAAAATTTATTTTTCAAAAATTCAGTCTGCTAAATTGGCGTGAATGTGATTTATATGTCTTTCATTAGAAAAATGATTTGAGAATGTCCTATATGCAGTAGACATCAATGTAAAGAATCACTTCAAATTATTCCTTAGATTTTTAAATGATACTTCTTTTGCTTAGAAAATAATCCCATGTCTATTAAAAGTACTACATTCATAAAGTGTGAACTTCTGTGAAATTACTTTTCCAGTTTCCCTTTGAAATGATTGTCTCTGAAGCAAAATAGATTTCAAGTTAAGTTTCCAAGAGAGCTACAGAAATGACCAATTCCAAAGCATAATGAGATCAGTGAGGAACATATTTTCTGTTTGCTTCAGTAATAAATTATCATGAAAATGTAGCTGATCATGTTGTCTGGCATGAGATACTTCTGGTAAATGCTGTCTCCTTTCCCACTGAAGTAAATGGGTTGGCAGCAGTTTTGAAAGCAAAACTGTGGCCTATTCCACTTTGCACCCTCAAGCAAAACAGTATGGTTATTATAGTAGCAATAAGAGGCCAAACATGGGGTACAATCTTTCAGCTTGCCATCTCAATTTACTTCAGTGAGGATGTGAAAGAAACCAGGTCATGTTAGGAAATGCTAAAAGTACTGGTATTTGACATAATTCGTAGTCTAATTTCCCTCACTAACTGGTAATACAACAAGAAATTATTCATCCAACTGTGACTTTCCTGTGCCATTTTTCCCATTCTAGCAAAATTTTGTAACAGTGAAGCATGCCTGCAGGCTCTGTGGGTTTTTGTGTGCCTGGTGTTGGGCAGTCAAGAAGAGGAAACCATCATAGTCATATTTTAAGATCTCTTTCTTCCTCACCCTCCTGTTTGAGCTTCAATGTAAAACAGCAGGACAGTTGTAGCAAGTGAACGGGCTTGAAGATATCTGGGAAACCAACACTATAGCCGTCTTGACTGCAGGAAGGTATTTATATTTTAGTTCCTTTGCTTGCCCAGGATAATGGCCCATTCTTACACAAGAGGAATCCAATTATTTCCCCTCAAAATGGTCCAAACAGGCCAAAGAGGAAAATATGCTCAAAAAAGGATAGAAGGATCAAAGTGACAATCATGACCTGCACAGTAGAACTTGTTTTCCAGTAACATCTCCAGATAAGTAGATGAATTTAAGACCTAATTGACCTACATCTTGAAGGATTTTGTTTGAATTGATGGGACATCCTTGCATTGGAGCAGCTACAGCAGTATTTGAGTTGCTGGGGAATGTTCTTCATGTCGGTCAGGCTGCAACTCTTTACCATGATCACACAGTATGATGTGTTATGTCAGGAATTTGGAAATCTATGGTTACTTTTTGTCTGGTTATTGATTTGTGTGATTCTATGCTGCTCTACTTGTGAATTTTACAGAAGGATCATTGTATGTGTAATTCATCAGTTTGACAGCTTTTCTTTATCCTTCTGAGAACTGCGCATTGAAGAACTAGGTCAAGCCCCTACAGTGGGAATTGATCACCAGTTCACTTGTAAAAAGGTTTAAGTGTTGATTTTGTTTCAGTAGAGCTATACCTTTCTGTTTAAAAATACTGTTTTCAAATTGCTTAGCCAAATCGTGGCTGTTATAGCTGGGTCGTTTTTTCTTTTTGCTTGTTTCTGCATACTTAATCTAGTCTTTGTCTCTGCTTGACATCTCACTAAACTACGTAAAAATTTCTTTCTGTCTAGTAATATTTACTCCATAAAATCTGAGGTCATGTGTTTGCTGGAATTCAGAATGAGGAAAAAATGGGTGAGAGTACTTTGTGTATACAACATAGAACCCATTTCATCATCACTACTTATGAGTACATGAGGGAGCTGTCTAGACTTTTGCTTCAAAAATTAAGATCTATGTCTCGAAGCAACTTTCAGAATACCAAAATATACTTATTTGGCATAGGCTGTAAACTTCCAGTGGAAGTAATGCAAATAACAACTCTTCCACTTCAGCTGCGATTTTGTTTTGTTTAGTTTTAGTTCACCAAGAGGTCACAGTATGTACTTTTCAGTCCTAAAGTGTTACATTCATTGCGAAGTTTTATAGGAATTCAGCAGGGGATGTTTCTTTCATCCCTTTAGATAGATTTCACTGTAGAGAAGTTTTATTTTTCATTCCTCCTGCAGGTCTTCTTCAGGGTTTTTTTCAGGATCTCATTTAATGAATGCTGAAAAGGGATAGCATTGTTGTCATTACTGCTGCCAAGTTGTTGTGGTTTTACAGCCATGTTAGTTAAGGTGGCCATGTTGTCCTATCAATTTTTAAATTGAAGATCCCACTGAAGTTAGTGTGAACTTTTACCTCAGTTTCAATGTCAGGATGTGGCTCCTTGTACCGAGTAGTCCTCCCTGCCTAGTTACCAATTGTAAGCTGCTCTCCTCCCTTTCCTAGAAGATAAACTTGCTTATCTGGTTCCTTTTTCTTGACAATAATATTGTAGAGAGAAGAAAAAGAATGAAACGTAGGTCTTGGACAAAAATGTTGGCTATTAATTATCATTATTGTGCAGTTACATTCTTGTGTAATTCTTGTCCCTTTGGAGCTGTATTGTGCAGATATGTGAGGCTAAGTATTTCCTCCTCCATAAAACAGATGTTATAGGTTTTCATCTCATTCCCCTGCATAAAGTTGTCACCAAAAATGAAATATTAACAAAACAAAACTCCACCTCTTCCTGAATTCCCAGAATTTCTCTACAAAGGTGGAATATTGCTAACAGTTGGACAGATAGAATTCTCTGCAAGTTCTAAATTACCTCAAGGAAAATGTAGAGGTTTGCAGAGGTTACATTCACATACTGCATTACGAGTTTGTGCATGTATAAGCTGCACAACTGCAATGTAATTAACTTACCATGATTTATTTATTGAACAAAACCTTGTTATGCATATTCCAGTTCCATAAACTTTTGGGGGAATATGGAAATGGTGCACATCAGTTTTGTACAAGATCCTAAACCTTATCTTGTTTACGCTGTAAACTTAAGTGAAGGGAGAAATAGCCTATATTCTTATATAGGGGGCCTATAAGACATCTGGAAAGGGGCTTTTACAAGTCATGTAGTGACAAGACAAGGGGTAATGGCTTTAAACTGAAAGAGCATAGATTTAGATGGGATGTTAGGAAGAACTTCTGCACTGTGAGGGTGGTGAGACACTGGCAAAGGTTGCCCAGGGAAGCTGTGGCTGTCCATTCCTGACAGTGTTCAAGGCCAGGTTGGACAGGGCTTTGAGCAGCCTTTTCTAGTGGAAGGCGTCCTGGCCTGTGGCAGGGGTTTTGAAACTACATGAGCTTTAAGGTCGCTTCCAATCCAAACCATTCTACAGTTCTATAATTCCAAATACTGTCTGAGACACTCCTCTATCTTCACTTTCAAAAGTAGAAATTATAAGAATAGAAAAACTCTTAGACTGACTACTTTTATTTAAAATTTAAGTTGATTAGAATGAAGTCTGACTTCAAACACCATTTAAGATACATGAGATAGCAGCTTTGGCGTGACTGCTTACTTTCTTAAGTTTATCTTGGGAATTAGAGATCATAAATAAACTTTTTTAGACTGATTTCTGGAAATCTGACACTTCTTAAAAACATGATTCTCAAGGGGCCTCAGTTTACCATTATTGGGTCAATGTAATTGATTCCAAATAAGAAGCTGAGAATTTGACGTAACTCAAGCTAAACCAATACTTGAGTCTGAGTAATTTAAATGGTTAAGTATTTAATATTTTAACATTTCAAACTCTTAAATAAACTAAATATAAGTTCTTTAACTTTTGATACCTTGTAAGAAAATGCTATATTACATTCAAAACTTTTTTTTTTAATTGTACAAGGTAGAACTCCGCAGTGCTTTTTCCTGATTATATTGAAACTCATTTCATATTTCTTGTTGCTATAATGAAATTTAATAGCTTCCTCGAAGTAATTAAAAAAAAAAAATTGTGTTCCAGGGTGACTCATAAAGTAAAGGGGGGGGGGGGCACTGTTCTAAGTACAGAGCTGTGAGTTTATCTGAAGGCTTTATGATTATATCTGCACTAATCAGATACAAAATTAAAGCCCCAAAGCATCAGAAACTAACTGTGATTCAGTCACAAAAGGCAGATCCTTGCGCTGAGTTCAGAAGGAAGGCTGAGAAGTTAAGGTTATATTCAAAACACGCAAAGCTCCTGTGCCTGATCAGGAGAGAGGGTGAGAAAGAAGTTACTCTGAAGGGTTTGGAAAAGCAGAGCCAGGCACACAGAGGAAGCAGCACAGGGCTGGTTCTTACAAGACAGCGAGCATAAGGCCTTCTGCTATATTTAGTCTCCTTTCCCTCCCTTCCCTTCCCCTCCCCCTTCAGTGCCTATATTTGATTTTGAATTGCAGAGTAAGATGTCATTCATTTATGTAACTTTTTTTCCGTATTGTATCCTAACTTCACAAAATAAATCACTTTTCATATAACATTGCAATTAAATATAACTATGCTTAAGTAGTGCTGACTTAACTCTTCTTTTCCAAATGATTCAACCTTTATATGGAGGAATGTGAGTAATAATTATCATTTGCACTTTTTCTTGCACCTGAATATAACATCCTGAAATAAGTTAGTATGAATAGCCTATTTTTATTATTAGAAATAAATGCTTTGTCTTGATATCTGGCTCTTTCACTTAGTCTTACTTCTATAGAATAATGGAGGATGAAAATAACACTGAATGTTATATTTATTTAATGTTTGTATTTTCAGGGTTTGCCAGGACTGGAGGGTCCCCAAGGTCCACCTGGCAAAGAAGGCCAAAGGGTGAGTAAACTTGAGCAACTGGTGAGTGTGATAACTGACCTCGATGTGTGACTTCTTTCTAAGCACTAATAAAAAATGGGAAGGTAGCAGCTGAGTATGAAGCATGCTGACAACAAACTGAGCTTCGACATTTGTTGTTTCTCTTCAGTTGAAGGAGATTTAACACTTTCAGCCATCTAAAGTGTTTTAATGACTGGCAGCACAGGTGTAGATATTGTCATTTGTGCAACATGTTTCTGCTGTAGTTTTAAGTGAAAAAGCATTAAAATTGCTCAGAAGCTTTTGTTTTATTGCGGGGGTAGGCCATGCCTTACTATAGCTAAAATATATAAAAATATTGATTTCAGGTAGTTATCTAAAATCCTGACAGTAACCAGTACTGTTAACCCAAGTGGTTTTGTACATGCCATTTTGCAAATGTCAGAGCCAAACGTATATATACAAAGAAGAGAGGTATCGTGGAGGGAGACTGTGCCCAAGACATGAAATAAACCTTGATTATTCAGAGTTTTAATATAATCAAGTAACTGACTGACTGGTTTCTCTCTGTTATCGGTGTTTTTTCCTGACTTACTGAATCTGATAGTTCAGTAGAAGAGATAATGAGATTTGTGGTATCACAAGAAATAGTTCAATTTGGGGAGTTTATAAACTATTCTGCTCCTAAAAGATTGGGAAGATTTTCAGACTCAAACATTTCAGTATTTTTATGAATTATGTTGTGCCCAGTTTGTGGTTTTGAAGTTGAGTCTCTCAATAATTCTTGGGGGTTTTAGGCATCTTGCTATTTCGTGTCTTGGTTCAATTATCTGAAGTGGAAGGATTTATTATTGTTGATCGTAGTCAACTACAGTGAATGATTAAAGGCCAGTTAAATAAGTAATGGTGTAGAACCCAAAGCTATGTTTTATACTGGCTTTTAAGTTCTAAAAATGGTACTAAATGTCAGTTAAGTTGAACATGAAAATTTGAAAGCTGACGTTATTTAGGTTTCACAGTAGAGGATTAAAAGTCCATTCAGAAAAAATCAGTGTAGTAACAAAGAATAAAATGTTATGTGGTCAATATTCAAGCATATTTAATAGCATAATACATGTCATTAAGGATTTTATAATTACTGTGACTCTTACTGTTACACAATAAATGTCCAGGGTACTGAAAAGCTATGAATATCCAGTTTAAACATATATTAAGAGTGTTTTTCTGTAGAGTAATCTGCAGAAGCACAGAGTTTATTAGTTCTCCTTTAGGAACAGTTATAAATATGGCTGTGTTCTAGAGGCATCATTCTTTGAACATCTAAATTTTTGAGGCAAAGATAGAGAGTTAACACGCTATCGTAGCTGATAAATATGGAAAATTTTTTTTCTTCCATTTTTTAGTGGCAATAGGTATTGATACATTCATCATGGACATTTCCAATTCATATATAAAAGTGAACTACTGTCTCACTCCACTCTCTATAAAAACAGCAGTGATGATTGTTTTATAATCTTGGCCATGCACGCAGTTGCCTTGAGCCAAACAATGGGAACAGCAGACTGTAAAGCTACTGTGTCTGTCTTTATCTTTCTTCCAGTGAGATGCTCAAAACAATATTCTTTCTACTGGCCACTCCCACCAAAGCATTAATAACATAGTTTGCAATCTTAATTTAGCTCCCATGTGTATTTCATTTCCAATACATTTAATTACACAATAGCATACTGTTTGTAACAAGATCTCTGCTCTATTTAATGACAAACAGGACAGTGCACATGTAATGGCTATTAAATATACTATTTTATATAATTATAGATGTCATGTTCCTCTGTTCTACTTCCAGCAGATCCTCCAAATCTTTCACAGTATTATGAAGTTATTGGTTTTGTCATGGACTGTCTTTTGAAGATTAAAGCATAATATTGAGTGTTTAATTAACTGATGATTTTTCTTCAATCTATTGTTCAGACCTAAAAGTGATCTTGTGTCCATTTTGCAAGCTGCAATTGTAATATATTAGGAAACAAACAATCAAACCCAAACAAAACCGCTTCAAACCATTTGAAAGTGTCTATTCAAGTTGGATGTCACATTTCAAGAACATGCATGGTTTTAAAACTTTCCATTTGCATTGTATTCATTATATAAAGTTTTAATTCCCACTCACCTCAGGAACATTTTTAAGTGTTCAATTCCTTTGAAAATTAGGCTTAGGTTAATAAGAAGTTGAGAGGAGAATCAGTAACTGTGTGAGGTAGAGACATCTCAGCACACATTAAAGCAAGATATAAGGAACTGAGGAAAATTAACAGTGTTAATGTTGATATTGTCAAAACCTCAAAAGCTAATGTTAGAGTTCACAGGAATAATCTGATTCAGAACTTACATAGCAAAAATACATATAATTTTATGGAAATAGGGCAAGTAGAATTATATATCATTGCATAATTATAATAAAGTTAAATGGAACTGTAGATTTTTACTTCAGAGTTATGCTAAACTTAAAGTACTTATTGGGATGTATGTGAAATTGTCTTGCAAGCACAAATTTACAATATCACAGAATTAGATGATGACTCTGTGTTATTTGTTTCAAGAGTAAAGGGGGGATAATTGTTTGTTGTCCAATAAATGCACTGTGGACAGTTATGTGGCAAAAGAAATGGTAGCTACATGATAATCTAGCCATATCCAGAGACCACACAGCAAACTGATTCTTCAACCAACCTGAAGACATATACAGAACTCACTTAAAGGCTGTCTGTTATGACATTACCTAGAGTGAAATTAGTCTGAGCAGGTACTGCCCTTATAGCTTTCCTTTTGACATGGTAACCACTTCCACTCATGTGTTTGCCAATGTTGTGTTTTCCTTTGGGTGCAAGAAGTCCTCAAATCTTTGCTGCTCTTCTAAAAGGACAGTGTTTCTCCTTGGTCTACAACTAGTGATTTTGTATAATTTTTTAGGTTTAGTTAAATGGTATGTAAGAGCCTTTGGTTTTAGTTCTGATCACTGGGAGAAGTAGGCCAGTAGGAGCAGCTACTCTTTCTGTTTTCTGCATTCCTGAATGAGAAATGTTAGCCCATTCTGTGGGCACTATGTTCATACGGAATTTTTCAGTATCCCTCTTTCTGGCTTCAGGCATTCAAAACAGCATGTTACTGCTGCAGCAACTTGATACCATTACACCAGTGCTCAGAATGACGTCAGCAGGTTCAGAACATAATTACTCAGAAAAGTCCCTGGCCAAATATTACAGACCAACAAAAAATAGGAGATTGGGTGCTCACCTAGCATTGCATGGGATTTAAACCACAGTGGACAGCTACACCATTTTCCTGGCTTCCTGCATTATGTAAGACTTCATTATTTTTCTCAGTATTCCTCCACTTAAATATATCTTTCATGGAAGTACAGTTTCCACCTGAAAGACATCAACAATTGAGACTTCACAAGTCTCCTTGATTTCTTCCTTCCACTGTTGTCAATCCCACTTTTCAAAATGTGCTTTTTACTTTACACTTGCACATGTATCTTAAGCCTCCAACAACTGTTTGTTTGTTGGATTTCTTTTTTTAATGTCTGCTTTACATTAAAGAGATATTTAAAGTTTTTTCCCTCTATAATCAAATCACAATTCCGTCTGGTTTTGAGATGATTCAACTGAGTTTCTTCAGCTCCCTATGTCAAGAATTTTCTGAAGTCTTCAAATAGTTTTGCCATGTTGTTATACTATCTTAAAAAATTTCCTACTACTTAGTATTATAGACTGCACAGACTTTTCCAGACTCTGCCTTTACTGTGCAGTAAAGTGAAATTTATATTTCCAAAATATAATTTCAAAGATTTTAAAAATTAATGCTTAATTTCACTTAGATATTTTTGTAGCAGATTTTCCCTAAACTTGATGCATTTTTATTAATACTATTTTTTTCTGAAAATTATTTTTAATATAATATTTTAGTGAATTCAAAAATTCTCTTCACGTGAAGCATCAAAGCAACTTTGTTGGACAGCAATACTGTGAAATCTAGGAACAGTCATTTTTCGTTCTCAGTTGGCCTATAGAAGAGCCAGGCCCAGCATGCAGCTAGCATACAGAGCAGTTTGTGTAGCACTTTCTGCTTCTCTGAGGTTATCTTGATACCTTCTTGAGCTTCTGGGAACTTTTTTTTCTGCGATTTGGGCACTTCTGGGAAACCTGAGGAAACTGAGAATGCCTGCTGTTTCCAGGTAAGGCTAAAGTAAAGGTAGCTGTGGCAGCTTCTGATCAACTCCATCAGCTGTCCTTGATCAACAGATATCTGCAGCCTGTATTCTAGCTGACGGCTGTTTAGGGAGGATTGAGCACCCTTTTAGCCCATGCCAGGAAGAGGACTATGTAACAGCTAGATGATGCAGCAGTTTGTACAGTGTTAACAGAAGCCGCCAGTACATGTGCAGGAGGTTGCACAGGAGTTTATCCAGAAGGGCACAAAGAAGAAGCCAGCAAATGTTCTCTGTCCAGCATACGTGTCCTTAAAGTTCATGGTCACAAAGCAGAGGATCCAGGCACTACTGAAGTAGCTGTTTGCTGTTGGACTCTTGCACCCAGACATCCTCAGATGGAGGACGGAGCTCTGTAAATCTAGGGAGCCTGACAGGTTGTATCCAGAAGTGCAGAAGGAGGTGGCTGATGTCACTGCAAGGCCACTCTTGATTATGTTTGAATGGTCATGGTGACAGGGAGAAGTTCTTGAAGACTGGAAGAGAGCAAAGATCATTTGTCTTTTCAAGAAGGAAGATCTAGGGAACACAGGCCAATCGGCCTCACCTCAATCCCCGGGAATGTGAAAGAGGTAATCCTCCTGGAAACCATCTCCAAACACATGAAGGACAACAAGGTGATTGGGATAGTCTGCATAGATTTATGAACGGGAAATTATGCTTGACTAATTACAATGCTTTCTATAATGAGGTCAGTAGCTTGGTGGATGAGAGGTGAGCAGTGAATGTTGTTGACCTCAACTTCAGCAAA